CGGACCTCGCTCCTTCTCCAAGGGCCAGAGCAGGAGCAGAAGGTGACACTGGACTTGGTGTAACCTGGGGGACCACCAGAGCCCTAGCCCGAGGACAGGCCTTTTCCAAGTCCAGGGGTCCATCCCCCAAACTCACTGCCTTCTAGCGACCCCATAGATAGGGTAGAACTGCCCCTGTGGGTTTCGGAGACGCTAACTCTTTACAGGAGTCCAAAGCCTCCTCGTTCTCTTCTTGGGGCGTATGGTTCTGAACTGCTTCGCTTGCAGTGAACAGCCCAACATGTACCCAGCAGGGCTCCTTCCCCACTAACTAGGAGGGTTTGAACAAGCCTCCCCCCGAGGGGCAGTTCTTCGCTGCCCGGTTGGGTCCCTGTGAGTTGAAATCCACTCCAATGCAGTGGGTTTGGTTTAGGACTTGGGCCCTGGCCTCAGGGGGATTCCCAGCCCCTCCCAAATGTCACCGGAGCTCCACCTACTGGCTTCACCGGAAATGTCAGTTGACCTGTTAAACCCGGAGCTGGGATTCAGGGTCTCGACCCCTTTGCAAGGGAAGTGTTCTCTGAGGGTTTCCTATCCCGGTCATTCCACGACTGCTTTGGGGCAAGGAGGACAGGGTGTGGACATAGGTAAGTTCCCATCTGCTGATCCTCGGGCCCCGTCTGCATGTTCCTAGACGAACCAACGTACCCTGCCCACCCACATACAGATACCCTACCCTGTGGGAGCGCATGAGTCCATCCACGGACACGTGTGCCCCCAAACGTTCCCGCACACGTCACACGTGTGCATGTGTAAGCAGGACTGTGGGCCATATCCAGTGCAGGCCACAGGCTCACTCAGTCTCAGGTGGTGCCCTCTCTCTGTTCTCTCAGGATCAAGACAAGACCCGGCCCCTGTCCACCCTAGCCAACCTGGCCATCATCATCACAGATGTCCAGGACATGGACCCCATCTTTATCAACCTGCCTTATAGCACCAACATCTACGAGCATTCTCCTCCGGTAAGACCCTCCCGGCCCCTTGTGAGATGTCCCTTTGAGTCGCTGTTAGGAGTGGGAGCCCTGCAGGGTGGACATCGTCCCTGCCAATCCTTATGCATGGCAGTGGTAGGTCACCACCTATCCTAAACGCCTCCCCTGGCCCCAAGCAGTTCTGAGAGGCAAAGAGCAAAGGAGTAGATGGGGCTCTCGGCCAGCCCACATGGGGCTTGACTGACCCAATGGCCCGGCCTGCCCTGCACCCCCCAGAGCTGCTCAGACCCTGGTTCTGCCTTCAGAGGACATGGTTCTGGCCGTCCTTCCCCAGTGCTCAGCCTTTGGGCGTCTCAAGGCCAGATTGTCCAGAGAGGCACCTGATTGGCTGGGCTCATAGTTTTGTGCCACAAGGTCATGGGTCATAGGTCACCAGCCAGCCTGTGGATTGGCTCTCTGCAGCTGTGACTAGGGGTATCAGCCTCTCCTGGGCAGCGGCCCCAGAGGCCTCCTCCGTGCTGACATGCCTCTGTCTGTTCTCCCTTGTCCAGCCGGGAAGGAGTCCCTGAGCTCCCCCTTGTCCATCAGCTCTTTCCGTTCCCAAAGGGTCCAAGGCTCGGCAGGGCCTTCCCTGTCCCTTTACGGTGAGGAGCCCGGTTTCCTGCAGGGACTCCCAGGCCAGGCAGGGCTGAGCACTCTCACCTGCTCAGCCCCTGGGGCCTGAGGACCCAGGCGTGCGCACCCCCAGCCTCCCGCCTGCCTCCCTGCAGCTGGCCTTGCCCCTCCTTATCTGTGGCTCCCAGCATGTGTGCCCCGCTCTATCGGTGTATCGGGCCAGAAGGCCTCATCTACAGTGTATATATTACCTAATAAAATCCTTCTTATTGGGGATTATTGCACCCAATTTTAATTTCCTCGAGCGCGCGGCAGCATGTCAGCCTGCCCGTCAGTGAAGAGCCGATAGGAGTGAGAGGGGCGGATAAACCGCGCACATCACGCCGGCCGATGCCTATCAGCCCTTTGACGGGAATTGG